GGGTAATTAAACTTCATGTAACGAGGAACGATTAACACAACATCGTCAAAGTAACAAAATATCAGCAACGTAACAAAAACAACATCTTCTGAGTACCGGTAAGAGTTATGAGGCAGAGACCAACATTGAGTATCAGAATAATGAGCGAACAACACCATAACAATATAGGATTAGGCACAGGTCATTTAATAACCGCAGTGAGGAATAAAGAATGCTTCAGAACAAAACCGCTAAATAGAGTGAGAGGAACAGCTAAAACAAGAGTAAGCTTCGCAAGAGGGTAGGCATAGGTAATGGTAATCGCAAACTCTGAATATCGCAGTATCGCAAAAGCTATCGGGAAGGGCGCGGAGAAGAACTGGGTTCTCGATGTCCCTCGAGGCTCTTTTATAGCGCCCTTTGGCGCGCGATCACGATCATAAGGTGACCGCTCCTTTGACTGGCTAATCAGACGATCGGTCAATGACATCGCGGTGTTTCCGCGATACTCCGGCCCACAAAAAGTTTTTTTTCCGCAGATTCGCACAATTTGATTATTCTTCAGTTTCTGGCTTCTCGTAGTATACGTAGCTTGCGGAGCCGTTCGTGAAGATCATCCATCTCGAGTTCGCAGTGTTTCTGTCTCGATCTGCAGCGAAGTCTCCGGTAGTGTACAAACGGCGGAGTGGTGGCCACGTTGTTTGCAATGGAAACACGGGATTCTGCTCTTCGTGCAACTTTCGCCTCGTTCGCAGTCGATCTCTAAACAGTTTTTACATCTTCCTGCTTTGGTGAGGTATTCTCGTCTTTCAACTCCTGTGCGGATACGGCCGCATGAGTCTGAGTAATGGCGTCCGTTGACTCCGCAAAAAACACAGCGCATCTGTCGTTCTTCACGACGGTAAACACCTGCCTTGTATTCTCGGGGGCGACACGTCCTTTTGCGTGCGAGTTCGCGTCTGTGACGGCTGACTTCTGCTAAGTCGGCTTCCAACGCTTCAATCTCTCTATCAAGTGCTGCGTCTTCGTCTTCCATGTCTTCGTCGACTTCGGCTGCTTCCATGAATTCGGCGTTGTTTGCTATTATTGCTCGTTCTTGGGTTAGGCAATCGGATTTTAATTGTCGAAGAGTATCGAAGAATTCTTCAATTCCCTGGAGTTGATCCTTGATGATTTTTTCCATATCCGATTGACTAATCAGTAGAGGTTTTTTGTGGCCGTCGTGCGAGGCGTATTCTTGAGGGATTTCCATTCTTGACTGCCATGCCCCATTCGATTCTTTCCGTGAAAGTAGGAATTGGAACAGCTGGAAGTTTCACTCTAGCACATGGAATTTCTCTTGGACCAGGTTCGTTGTGTGAAGAAGAAGTTGCTGTTATTGAAGCTTTTCTGACTATAATTTGTATCCTCAGTCTTTCTGCAGCTTCGAGTGTTGTGACAGTTTTTTCGAGATAGTCCTCTACTTCAGTCTCTTGTTCGCTGGATAACGGTCCCTCTTGGTGGTCCACAGCATCCGTGAAGTCACGTAGCTTTTCTGATACCAGGGCCTTTGACTCATCCAGTTTTGCAACCATTTCAGCAAGGGTTTTCAGGGTTTGATATGACTGCATTTCGCATGAGAATTTCGCAACAAGTCGGTCCAGTATGTTGCAGTATCGCGTCAGCAACATTTTTGGTGACTTCAATTGATCCGTCATTTTTCTTTGAATAAGGAAGAGCAGGTATCGCGAACTCGCCGATTCTTCTTGGCAAAATCGTACCTGTATCTCGTCCTGTGTCGGGTCCTTGTTTGGAGCCGATGCACCATGAAATGGGTTGGGGGCGATCGAACCCTTGCTTGTATGTGTGTGTCGTGCCACGCGGGCTTGTTAATCTCAAACTTGGGTAATTAAACTTCATGTAACGAGGAACGATTAACACAACATCGTCAAAGTAACAAAATATCAGCAACGTAACAAAAACAACATCTTCTGAGTACCGGTAAGAGTTATGAGGCAGAGACCAACATTGAGTATCAGAATAATGAGCGAACAACACCATAACAATATAGGATTAGGCACAGGTCATTTAATAACCGCAGTGAGGAATAAAGAATGCTTCAGAACAAAACCGCTAAATAGAGTGAGAGGAACAGCTAAAACAAGAGTAAGCTTCGCAAGAGGGTAGGCATAGGTAATGGTAATCGCAAACTCTGAATATCGCAGTATCGCAAAAGCTATCGGGAAGGCGCGGAGAAGAACTGGGTTCTCGATGTCCCTCGAGGCTCTTTTATAGCGCCCTTTGGCGCGCGATCACGATCATAAGGTGACCGCTCCTTTGACTGGCTAATCAGACGATCGGTCAATGACATCGCGGTGTTTCCGCGATACAGATGATACAATAGATCTCAGAATAGACAGCCCCCCTATTGAAGTGTAAAACTCCCTATTCGGCATTGTTGGAAGGTGGCAGAATCCGTGCTCTCCAAAACCCACAGTAGAGAAATTTTTAACCCTGCCATTTATTTTCGGATGCGGTTAACGATAAAAAGACCTAGTCAAAAGAAGTTGAGAAGTGATTGGTCAGAAAATGGCCGGTGATTTTCGCTCGACCTATTTAAAGCGGTGGTAAATGAGTCGTAAATGTATACAATCTTAATCAAGTGCATCTGTACAATTGTAATGTGTAGCTTTGGTTGAATAACTTGCTGTTTTGTAGGCTTATGTCCGCGACTCACCCTCCCACTCTAGCCAGTGCGAAAACTACTTTAAAGAGATAATGAATTTCTCAGATAGCACGTTTTTCAGGAGAACACTTTTTCCAGGGTGGAGAACACCTCATCACCTACACGTTCAATACCCATCAGGCTAAGCACAAGTTCTGCCGCATTTGTGGTGTACAATCGTTCTACGTGCCGCGATCAAATCCGGACAGTATTGGTGAGTCGATTGACGACCTACTTTCGTGTAAACATTGCTTAAAAACAAGTTCAGAGGTGTTTCACTCGGATTTCATGGGTTCAAACTGTTCCTTGAAATGAGGATAGAATATTTTCTCTGAATAGAGTGTTTGCCTGAAAATAACGGCTTTTTTGAACTGATTCTGGTAGAAGTGTAACCTTGTATTCTGCAGAAACGAGGAAGTAGCCGAAAACTGATGAAAAATGTCACGGATGGCATGCAAAACTGGACTTCCCATCAGGCAAAACAGTGATGACGGCGATTCTGCGCTGTTGCAAATCGTTCTGTTTGTTTCAGTCCTGACCTTTTGAAAACTGGAGAGGTTTTGTGGCAGGTTCACTCTCTCTCCTCCCTGTGCTCTCTATTCTAGTGCGCCTTCTTGTCTCAAGGATTCTTTAGCGTGCTTCCTAGCTATTCATTCATTTATTCATTCAAACTGTACTTTTGGTGCGCCCTATAAAACCAGAACTCGTGTTAGTCTATCATAAAGAAAAGAAACAGAAAGAAACGGAAAGAAAGCATTATTAATGCATATACCTATTGCATTAATACTGCTTCCTTTCTTATGAATAGAAGGTTCTGCTATAAATGTCCGTTCCTTCACAGTACATCACAAACCATTCTACAAAAGTTCATCCCCTCTGGAAAACTATATGCTCAACTCCACCTCTAGCTGTGAACGGATTCCTGGTGGAATGGGAGTTTTGGTCGGCGAACTTTTGCCATACCACTAAATAAGTTGGACTCACCTGTGCATCATTCATGATTTACTCTGCGTTAAGTCACGAAATTTTTCAAAATTCGCACTATTGAGTAGGGTAGTGCAAAATGTGGTGGCCTTTTTTCCTACACTAAGTTTTTTTTCGCTTGAAGGTTGAGCGTGGCCAAACCATAATTTCTCATCAAAAGCCTCATGTCTTCACTTCATTTATCTATCGTTTGAAAGCCCTTCTCTACTCTATTCTAATACAAACTACTGCATGGTGATTTAGGTCGGATTTTAGGCTCGCATAGGAAGGGAGTCCACTCAAGAAGAATGACGGCAAGTCACCGATTACTTCCCACTGAATGATGACATCAGAGACTTATCAGAGACTTGCCCTGTCTTGGTCGCAATATCCTTAACACGTGGCACGCGTTTTCCAACGACGGTAGAAACTACATGTACTCATTGAACGAAGTATCGGTCAGCCATGGGGTATTGGCAAAAAAACAGTCTAATTTGGCGAAGAAGAATTCACAGTTTCCTGGGGTCAACCCAATAGCGATGTGTTTGGAAGACGTCGTGACAAAGTGCATGGTACATCATTGAATGATATCCCAATGGAAAATAGAGTTTGAGTTTATTGACGATTTGGCTAATTTTCGTAGGCTGGACCTCCCAATTCGCTAGTGGGAAGCCCATCCGCAGAGAAAGTAGAACTCAAGTGTAGGCCCCGCTAGAGGGTCGCTTATTTGTCTTTGGTTTGACATCAGTACATTTTTTTCCTTACACACCAATACAACTGAACTTTTCTTTTCTAATTAACTACTGTCCGGCTACAGAGATAAAGTAAATTTCGGTGTATGAAGAATAATTTGACAACAAAAGCCTCTTCCTTTTGTGTCGACGTTTTACAGGGTGTCCCATAAGTATTGCACCAATGAGCCCAAATTCTGTAGGTGTTTATAGCGTTTCTTCCGAGACTCGCAGTCTTTTCGATCCTCTATCCTCTTGTCAATGACAGTGCCTAATTCCACGGCTTACCGTTCGGCCTTCATAGTGCGCTTGAACTTCAAAAGAGTGCCGGACCTTTCACACAGATAGGTCGGACATCCGGTGATGAGCATCGCGCTTCTTGGGATTTTCAACCGCTCCGCGGCCTACCGTGCACTGAAGAGGAGATCAATAAAAGTTTTCATCGACAACAAAATTCCTCACATGGAGCGGAGGTACAATCTTCAAACTCCTAAGATGCCCGCAGGATGTCATGATGCTCGCCCTAAGCAGAAACCGAACCTTATCGTGGTTTGCACGGCAGTCTCAACCACCGGTCGCTCACCATCAATCACGCCATTTTAACAAGGAAATTTGATACTAGGCCGAGCCAAGGGACATTTCGGTGCATCATCCGTTAACTAAGGTATCTAGCCACCCTTGAGGAGGGGTGCTAATCTTTTCAATAGGACCCAGCTTCTGCATAGGAAGCAAAAATTGTTTAGGAGCGCTGTTAAGGCACTCTTTCCGATTTTACATCCCCGAACGAATGGCCTATACCTCAAGAAAGCGTGGTGGACCATCCTATATGGGCTCGAACGAAGGGCTCTCCTATACCTCGAGAAAGCGTGCTAGACCATTATGGGGAAATAGACTGCGCTTAACATTGTAGGATGAGCCGGAGCCTTTTCTTTGCAAAATTTTGAACAGAGCACCCCAGGATGCCATGCGGGCCACAGTAGAGTTGCGTTCGAATTAAGTGTGAGCCATACTAACAGCAACAGGAAGCATATCCAAAGACTGTCATTCCTTTCAGTATCTAAGTATATTGCTGAAATCTGAAATCTTGTAAGATCTCCTGAAGATACATCTATTTTGGAAAAAGTTACAAGTGAGGAAAAGTGGTGCAATATTATTTGGCGCCCTCACTCTGACTATTCACAGGTCACTGGTTCTAAAACGTGATATGTTCGTCACCTGGTTTTTTTTTGATTTTCGTTTCTCACATGTGATGTAATTGGAATTCGCCGATTTGAACCCGATCTTTACTGAAAAACTCTTAGCCTTTTTTACTTGGCACTTCCCAAATCAATCACGAACATGATCGGACGCGTTTCCGAGAATGTTGTCGATATCGTTAGCCATTACCAATGTGTGGCATTAAAAGTTCGTCAGTGTGGCAGCGACAGCCAGTGAACGAAGTTCTTCTTAAAGAAAGGAGTATCAGCGGCTAATCTATTATATTTCTTCCTGATGAGTGATTGTAAACGTGAACAAAAAAAGTTTGAAGGAAGGAGCAAGCCTTTGAAAGCTTTGCCATACAACATATTGTCGTTCTGCCTTGGCTCTGAAGACTGGTTCCTTCAATGCCTCCGTGCTATATATCTTTTAACTATTACAACCCCAGAACCTCAAAAAAAATTCTCGGCAAATACTTTGCCTCCGGAGGGAATTCGATCCCTCACTGGAATGCCACTCATCTTTGGCATTGGTCATCTATTAGCGACGGCTGTTTCCATCAAATTCGATGAATGCTTCTGTATTAGGGTTATTAGGAGTCCTGTTCACGGATATGAGATTCGTTTTTAGTGTAAGCGCTGTTTAGCTCATGGTTTCCGCTCTCCTAGGCTTTCCCGCTACTAGTGCCTGACGCTTATAACAAGGTGTATGGCTCAGTCTCCTCGAAGTCCTCTTCTCCTGAAAGGCCGAGCTCTAATCGCGATTTAATCAGTGAGAGGGAGTAGACAAAGAGAAAATGAGCATAAAAACGAATCTGACCTTCACAATAAGGGCGTCGAGATACCTTTGGACGAAATTTCATCAAAACATAAATATTTGAGATCCCGGGGTTGTAAAATTGATTACAGCCAATGATTCATCGCGCATCAAGAGCACGAGCAGAAATCATATGCGTGACGCAAGTGAATTGTAATAGTGACTGGGACGTTCCATTGTTCAGTGATTCAAGTGTGCTTTTGACATGAATATGATTAATTTTGTTAAAGAACAGATGTGTGCCCCGTAGGATAGTAGGGCTGTCTGCAACGCCCAGCTTCGTGATTTTTCGATTTTGATATCTTTTTCCTTTTTTTAACAGTGGTTTATTCACTTGAAATTTTCAAGATATTCAGAAACCGTTTCAGCGCATTAGCGTAGAAGTTGAAATCAACTATCCGATCCATAGTGAAAAGCGGTGTTTTCTTCCCACCATCAGTGCACTCTCGAGTAGAGCGCGAAGAAATAAAGAAGATGTTGCAGTTAATTTTGGAACCATGTAATTTCAGGTATTATGCCGCATTGTATAGACTCTCCAACGGTGAAAGAACTGCGTTTCACTGCATTCGATGGCGAACACTGGGAAGAAGAAATGCAAAAAAAGGCTCCCATACCAATTTAGCTGAGGATAAATGCTGATTGCTATGAAACTTTCTATTTGGCTTTCTCTGCCAAGGGCTACGAGGTTATTAGTTTGCGATTGTTAATTAAAGATTTTTTCCTTTTCGTGAATACCTGCTCGTAGTTTTTAAAATCTATGGCTGTGTTGCACTATACAGGGATCCGAAAAGTGTCTCTCTCCACGTTTAAAGCGGGGTAAACTACACCAGTTTTGCTTCGCCCGCTATCGCGCGCATCACACGGCAGGCTTTAGCGAA